AGGAGAGGAGAGGAGAGGAGAGTAATGACGGGAGGGGAGGAGTAAGCAAATGAAGAGTAATGAAGTGGACAAAATAAAATTGAACTAAGTGAAGTAGAAAGAAATTGAAACATAAGTGAAATGATATGGGAGGAAATAGGATAGAAAAATATTTTTATAGATTAGATTGGGACGGAATGGAATGGATTTAAAATGAATTTGAAAGATATTAAATGAAATGTAATAAAACAATTTAAAAAATAAATAAAAATAAAATAAATTATAAAATAAAATATTTCAGTTTCATTTATTTTGGGCCTCTAGGTTTTTTTTAAGAAATGTGTTGTTATTGAAATTAGCAATCAAATATTTAAAATAATTTGCTGGCTACTTACAACAACTGCAGTCGCGGAATGCCCAAGAAGGCATCCTGTGGTATCGCCTTTATGCGATTGTAAGAGAGTACTAAATCATGAAGTTGCTTTAAGCCGACGAAGGGTCGCCCACCGAGCGATTCTATGTGATTACTCGAAAGATCTCTGTTAAAAAAAAAAATTATTTTTACATTTTTGAATGCATATATCTATGTAAGTATATTAGGGCGGGTCAATTTTTGTGGGTTATTTCTTCGACTGCGCGCTTATAGCACGGAATGATTCGACGTGTAAATCAAAGCAAATTTGCCGAAGAAACCATGGGTCTAAAATCAATTTGGAGTTTACCAAAGTGAGAAAATATGTATACGTAGCATTTTGCTGTTTGTATAAAAACATGCCATAAGGGGTTTTTGCCATGAGGAATCCTTTTATGCACTTATACTTCCACCAGTGGGCGCAATAGTGCTATTTTCCCCATTTTCTGCTCCAAATTGATTTAAGACCCAAGGTTTTTAGGCAAATTTACTTAGAATTACACGTAGAATACTCCTATGCTATTTATACGCGCAAAGTAAAAAAAAGTTCTAATGTACACACATACATACACACATATTACAACTTTTATCTTTGAATAATTCTAGGGATATTATTTTTAACTTTTCTGCAATTTTTTCTCTGCTACTTACAACAGTCTTAATTCTCTGCAATTAGTTAAGTTGGGAATGCGCACTAAGGAATTAGTTTTAAGCTCTCTGCAATGAATTTATAAGAAATTGTAATGATTAATTAAAATATTATCATAAAGGAACACTTGGTTTTTTTTTTTACTTACAAGCTCTTCAGTCTTGGTGTTTGACGACACAGGTTCGATGGCACTTCTTTAATACCGGCACGATCCAATTTTATAATCTCTAATGAGAAACAGCCTTCAAGATCGGGAAATACTTTGAGTGCACGTACATCGGAAAGAATTCTGGTCGAAAATATGAAACGAAAAAATTTTTGAAAAATTATTTAAAAGCAAGTTTACGCTTAGAGATTTAAACAACATTTTGCAAAACATATTTTATCATAATTTTCTTATACTCACAATTTACGCAACCTCGCCATGCCACGCAATGCTCTCGGCATTATTAACGACAATGGATTCGCGCGAAAATCTAGCGTTTGTAAATTTCTAGGCAAATCTGTTTCATTTATCCAACGCAGGCGATTGCTGGTGACAGATCTGTAAAATCATAGAAGGAAAAAATCATATAAATAACATAGCATTCCGAATACAAACAATGGTAGCGATTTAGTGCCACTTGGTTGGCAGTGTATCCAATTCTGAGAGGAGGCAAGGAGCTTAGCAAAAAATATCACTAAGTAATTGAAATAAAATAATTTGTTTTATGACTAAATTAAGTCAAATCCACGCAAATCCATGCGAATTTCACATTTCACAGCGAGTCAATGCACCGACAAAGTTGTCGCCGAATCCGCTGACACCCATCAATCCCACATGAAGATGCAACTTCGCAAAACAGTTGGCGTGTAAGTGCCATGAATTCAGCGTCAAATTGTGAACGCATTCTTATCGCTGCATTTAACATTGTCGTAATTATCCTGTTTACTCCAAACAGTGGGAGAGAGCATAGAAATGAAATCGGAGAAAAAGTGTGCATTCACAAGCGCGGAAGTGCACAAATGCAGTGAAATATTAAATTTACTTTGGTGCTACTATAGAAATAAGTAGAGTTGGTGTTTGTATGTATGTGTGTATGGTGTGAATTGCATATGCAAACGTGCGAGCATATTAAAGTTTGGTGCTTACTTTAGCCAAGTACTTGTGTGCTGGCATAGCGCTTAGCGGTCGCGGGTTTAGTTCAAGCATGCAAGAGGAAATCTAATAGCAGTACCATTTTTAGTGCCTAAGAATACATTGCAACTTTTTATAAAATAGTTTTTTATGAATTTTTTATGAATTTAATTTGTTTGAGATAGATTGAGACACTTATAAAAAATCATATTGCTCTTCTCGGCCTAAACCTGTTAAGGTTTCAAATGCTACATTATTTTTAAAACCATTATTAATTCATTCTCTTGTATGTATTGTATGTGTATTGGTGGCTGTGTGTTGACTGCAACTTGATGCGCTACGCTTCGTTTGACACAACGCATGCTTCCGTTTTGGCGGCGAAGGAAGAAGCTGTGCTGGAATTTCATGCTCAATGGGAGTTTAAGTCTTGCATTTTATTGCGACAGCAATACACAGAAACGTGCGGAGGCGGATAGAGTTGACGCGAAAATTTGCAAAAGCATGCCAGCAAGAAAATGCAATCAGTCCTGTCAACGGATTCAAAGGATATCACGTCATATTTTTAGTTTTTTAACCTACTTCTAAAAAAGGAAGTTATCAATTCGTCAGAAGGCGGTTTTGTTTTTTGCCTATCTGTAAGTTATAGGCTTTTTATGAAATTTAACCGTTATTTCATGATTTTTATTAATTCGATCAAGAATATTTATTTTTGGAATTTTACTTTTTCAATCAATTTTTAATCGTTATTTTTGATTTTTATTTTTTTGCTCAATTATAACTGTTTTTTTTCAGATTTAATTTTTTAGATCATAAAAGGTTTAAATCGGCATTAAACACGCAGTCTCCAACATAACATATGAATTTATCGAAAAAATCAGAATCGTAAATAACGATCAAAAATTTATAAAAAAAAAATAAAACTTCAAATTTAACGTTTATTCTTTATTTATTTATTTTTTTTTTACTTTTTCATTAAAAATTGGTTGGACATTTATTTAAAATTATTTTTATTGATTGTAAATTACACAATAATATATGTATTCTAATTTAAATTTTTAAACATAATTTCATTTTGATTTCGATTTAAATTTCCTAATTCAATTTTTTTTATCGCCTTTCATATAAGATTTAATTTTGCTCAAAATTTGTATGTTTATTAAAAATTATGTTTTAACTGTACATTAAGGTAATGTGTTTTTGGTTTTTAAGCTCTTAAAGTTTTAAGTACATATGTATTTTTATTAACTATTTATGTACATACTTTCCTACTGGGTCGGCATACCGCACTTTCAACCGAAAAGGAGCAAACACATACACGCATGCATAAAAAGTCAGCGCCAACAATTGTTCCACGTCGCGCAGATGACGACAACTTCAAAGAAGTTGCATTCACAAAATGCAAAGAAAGAAAGAATACAAACAAAAAAAAATACAACAACACAAAAGTTCACCACATCGGCGAAGTAGAGAAACAAATTCGTGCTGCATCATTTAATATGGCGCTCGTAAATATGCAATGAAATGACACGTTATGATTTCAACAGAACACGCACGGCGCGCCGCGACCAATGTGGGTGTAAAAAGCGCCGAAGAATGCAGCTGTTGTCGTCACCACTGTGTGTTTAGAAGTGTCGTTGCGCTACATGATGCGATACTGCGTTACAGCACCAGCTGATACGAAGCTACTATTGTACATGCATATATAGTATTCCTTCCTCGATTGCCAGTTGTCACATATTTGGGATTCTCCAACTAGTTCTAAGCGCTTTAAAGCAAATTTTAACACTGTGTTGCATCCGCTGCAGCACTATTCAACTTGTTGTGGGATATTAAGGAAAATAAGTTTTCATTCTTTTCACTTTTAACCTCATTTATGCATTTCACTTGAACAAATCGGTGAAATGCGGGCGTGGGCGCAAGTTTTGTGTAAATATGTGAGCATGCATATGCAAAATTTGTTTTATTTTCATACTGTAGGATTCTTTTTTCCTTAATATAATTGTTCGCGCGCAGGTATTTAGTTCATTTTGTTTTTAGTCAAGTTCGACCTTTAGCCTAAATTCCAACATGCCACGTTTCGCTTGCTTTGATATTTGCTTTGCTCGATTTTAGGCGCCTGCGCCAACTAATGCACTCATTGCTCTTTAAATTTCGTTATGCAATAATAATAAAAATAAAAATGTATCTTTGGCATTAAAAAAAAGAAGGAATTAATATAGGCTTGGAATGCCAGAAATGCCTCGTATGTTCTTGATTTGAACTTCACTGGAAAATTCGTGATCAAGGAGCACAAAATTTTAGATAAAAAAATTTTTAATTAAGATTTTTTAATGTATTTTTTTGTTATTATTTGGATGAGTTGATCTTGAGCTGGAAATTGCTGGGCGGCTAACAACGCGCCTGCCCCTCATTCTGTAAAAAGCCTGACAGGCCTCAGAGTACGATTTAACACCATTGTCTTTAAGTTGAATCGTAGTAGTGATTGAGGTCTTAGCACCTGAACCGGCTCTGAACGCATTGTATCATATATGTAATTCAGTCTTCGTATGAAGGGATCCGTGTTTTGAGGGACTATACATACATTTCGGGGTTGAACTTAAATAAAAATAAGACCAAACAAAAATTAATAGACAATTTTGATTAGTGGGATAACTTGGGGCCGAGTGCACACATTTCACCGTGGGCGAAACAGCCGATTTAACGGAAGAAAATATAAATTTTTTAAAATGAAAGCCTTGATTAGCATTCGATTACCAATCGATTGTTAAGGTTAAGATTTCGATTACGATTAAAATTACGATTAAAATTAGTATCAAGATTAAGATTACGATAAGGATTAAGATTAAGATTGAGATTGACTGAGACTGAGATTTAGATTGATATTGGAATTAAGTTTGAGATTGAAATTCAGATTGGGATTGAGATTAATTGCTTATTATTATGCAGAAAAATACTCATATCATATGGTATGCTATACGAGCAATAGGAAGAAGAAGTTTCCCTTCAGTCGCACGTGGGATCCGCACACAACTCTTTTTTATTATTTTATTTTTATAACCTTTCCTCAAAAAATGAAAAAAAAAAATACAAAAAATATTTGCAGAAAATAATACTCAAATGTTTCTGTAATATAATGTAATGTTTACACTGTACGAAAAATGTCAAGTTTTGAGTTGAGACACGTAACACGTAAATTTAACCATTTTCCCATATCGGGTCATTTTCGCAAGATATTTAAATTTTTATAAAACAAAAAAACTTTTTTGTAATTAATTTTTATTTTTTTTTTGTAATTTCTTTTCTTTGGGCTAACGCCTGTTTTTATGTTAAAAAATCGCTGTTATGCATCGTTTTCAACGGTCAAATAACAATGTGCAATAAATTTTTTTTTGAATTATTTTTATGAAATAGGAGCAGGAAATAATGTTACTCATACGCCATAACGTACATGGCTGCACTAGTATTTACATGCTCGTACATGGCGTATGAGTAACATTTTCCATGTTAAAGTTTGAATTTTTTCATTCGAAATGCAAACTTTAAATGAGAAATTACCTGAATAAGAAAAACGGAATGCAGATCCGTAATCTACGAACCAAAATTAATTACCTGTCTCGACTTTTTTATATCTACAGTGTGATCATTAAAAGGCACCTAAGCTTGAGCTTTATTATTTTAGAAGGTATTAAGTTTTTCCGCTAGATAACTCATCTCACTCACTGTGCGTTCGCTCGAGCGGCGCCGGAGACGATCAGTGCCAACCTCAAGTGGTGCTGCGGTCAATTTGAGTACTATTTTTTCATTTTTACCACAATTTGAATAAGTTAACTTTCATAAAAAACATCTAAAATTCGTTGAATTTTTTGGCGGATTTCTCCTTAAATACAAACGAAATGTACACCATACTTCCTTTACCTTTTCTTATATGTACTTGGATTATTTTTCATATTTGTACTTATCGATATTTTTATGCATATCGTTATAAATACATTTATCGACGTCTTTATCGGGTCATTGTGTAGGAATGTTACCAGATACATAGTTTTAACTATGAATTAGAGTTTTTTAGACAACCTTACAGTTTTCTTCAACATCTTCTAGTACAAGTTCCAGAATTTTTTTTTCAAAATTTCCAGTTTGAATGAATAAACTAAAAAATTTCTCTTATAGTTTTTTGGAAGTAAATTTTTAAATAAAAAGGGTCAATGAAGGAGCAACGTTTTGTCTTTTGAAACGAATGGTTTCAGCTATACTTTGCGCATTCCAGCCGGTACAATAAATGTGGAAAGAACTTGATATTTGATATTTTAAGAACTAAAAAAATTAGTTTCCCAATGAAATGTATACAAAATTAACAAAGCGATTTACGAAAAATACTGAAGATGAAGTATGATGTCTTTTTCGATACCTATTTCGAATTAGTACAAACTTTAATATCGACATTTTGCGATATTTTATTCTTTATCTTCGATACTGAATATCGATACTAACATTGTAATTCTTATCGATTAATACTTTTTACCTTACAACTTGAGAAAGGAAATGAAGCGTATTCTTTAATTTCCAAGTGATATGGTGAAACTTGTTTATATGTATAAAAGGATTAAATGCTAACTATTATTGAATTAAAAAAATATTTACAGCAAATTTCCAACATTTCTACCCTCTCAAAGTGAACAGTTTAACTTCTGTGCTACCTCAGCCACCAGCTGTGTGGCAGCTACTTGAAAGGTAGTTGTTGTGCTGACAGCATTTGTGAAGGCCTTCCTCTGCCACAATGTCGCAGTGCAGACAGTTGAGCTGACAATCGATGTTTGCAATACAGCTTAATATGCCGGTTGAGGCTTAGTGTGCACATAATACAAGCTCACGTGCCAATTAAAGACATACATAAATACATATATCTACGCTCGTGTTGTACATATACATACATACGTGAATATATGCATCTGTACATTGTATATGCACACTTATAAAATGTAAGCTTATTAAATGTTGTTAGTAGACAGTTGTAAGAGTCCTACATACATACTAATACAGATATGTATGCACATAAGTACATACATATATATATAAGTAGGACTCTGCTTATGCATTTATGGAATTTATGTTTTCGCAACAATATTGTTACGACATTTGTCTTGAGCAACAGCTTGTGGCGACATCTTGGAATTTACACTAATTTGAAATTACGCCCATTGATGTTTAAGTCAAGTGCATGGTGAGAATATATTCGTTGCAATAAGGTGCTGCTGGTGTCAGTTGAAAATGTCCTGATAAATTTGTACGAATATACATACATACATATGTGTTTATTGAGCTTACATGAGCGCATACGAAATGGCAAATATAAGCCTACATAACTGCGGTAAATAGTTTGACAAAGCAATCTAAAATAACTTTGTCTGGGAGGTTATACTGCCAATTTAATAAGACAAGGGATTTCCAAGTTTAATCTAAGTTGTCTTATTAATTAATTAAATATTTATATTAAAAAAGGAGTTATAATAGCGCTTTTCTACACACTCAACTACAGCCGTCCCAAGAAATAACAAAAGATAAAAAGAATAAGAAATGGTTGTGCGGGCAACTTTATTTGAATTTGACTTGCTTTGGACCAACATACCAGAGTTGGGAAAAATGCATTAATTATTTAATGCATAGTATTTTAATGTAAATAAAAATTGCATTGCTTTATATTTGAAAATCGAATGCTTAATAAAATTTGAATACATTAATTCCGAAGAAATAATGCTAATGAAAATATTTTTGTATTAACATTCAAAATTTTTTAATTCGTGCTATTGAATTAAGAGTATAACAAGCTTTAAAAACTCATCTAAAAATTTTATTTTACAGTAAAAATTCTTAATTGGCGTTGAGGAAGGAATTTTGAGGTTCAAGAAGTTAGTGTTGTAAGTAAAGTAAACTTATGCACACTGAGTTACGCGCACATTGCTTTTACTTTCACAAAACATCTAAAATGTTTACAAGAATTTTTCTACAAATAAACATAGCGGAATCGGGCTTAAAATTATTAGTAGTTATTCGACGTCCTTTCAAAAGAGGTGATTTATATTTTACTAGAAAAAACTAAATGGTTTTAAATAATGCAAACGAGAAAAATTATTAAAAATTTTAATAAACTAAAATTTTTCGTTAGCATTAGTTTAGATAATTTAATGAAAAAATTTCATTAGCATTATATTTTTCAGAATTTATGAATTAAAACTTAATTAAACATTAAGTTTTCAAAATTAATGCATTGATTTTTTTTTCCAAAAATTTCAAAAATTACTGCTGTAATTTATTTCGTTAACATTAAGGCTTTAATGTACCATTTATGCACTAAAATTTTCTAAATTCTGTATTCACATTTGTTAAACTTAAACGGTTTTTTTCATTTGGGGAGATTTTTTTTTTTTTCAAAACATACTACTTTAAGAAACTATTTTTATTCATTAAGAAACAAAATTTTTGGAGGTAGTTTAAAATCGGTCCAGCTCATGTAAATCTTAATATTTTTTTCAAAAATTAATGCATTGAAATTTTTATTTGCTATAAATTTCAAAAATTAATGCATTAATTTTCTACATAAACATTAATATTTAAATGTACCATTCCAAATTTGGTATGCACATTTTTTTAATGAGTTTATTATAAGTAAGAGTTGAATTTAAAGCTATCCACACATCTATGCGATGCTGTCGGTGTGAATATGTTCCCCCAAAAATTACAACAATTCCGACCGTAGTTTTCAAATGAGGAATCACACATTTATACGATTTTGCTGCAGCGATTTATTTGAACATTCACACTTCTTCTTTTAGTCGTGCTGAAATCGTAGACTCTCGCGTTTTGAGAAAGTGCATGTCTTAATTACTTAATGTTCATCATACGCCCTGTCAGACCAATTAAAAAATATACTACAATTGCAAATTTTCCGAGCGTATCTACACAAATTATTCTACTAGAAAATATATCGTTTTGCAGCCTTTTAATACACAAAGCAACCGCACTTTTTCCATTAATTAATTTTTTTTGATGTCCTTGGGAGAAATCCTGCCATCCTCGTAAAAATTTCAAGGTGCAGATTTACTGTAAATACGTTCTAATATGGGAAACATATCGAATTTTTTGCATTTCCAAAAATTTCATGGGTGATCTAGTAGCCTTCATTCATAAATATATATATATGTATATGGAATTAAGTAAAACTTCAACTACAGGTCGGCACGGGTTATCGCTATCCTACGGCCATAAAACTTCATACATACATATGCTATTAAGGCTAAAATGCACAAATATAGAGGGTATGAATTTTTGTAATATTTTCATTTTAAATATAGTTCGATCTGCATATAACAGGAACCATTAAAAATAAAAGCTTCAAAAATTAATCAAACAACAAAATTGTTCATCAAAGTTTTGGTTTTTGTTTTATTTAGATTCCTTAGAAATAGTTTGAGTATACACTTTTGTAGTCCATAATGAAGTGCAAGTTTCAACTGCCGTTGGTTTTTTTGGACTTTTATTTGTGGACGGTGTTGCGCATTTTCTTCTATATTAAAATAAATTTTATATATGCATTATATGGACGACTCGAAACTTGCACTTTATTATACTAAAAATTTATGGTATTTAGAACTTGAACATTAATATTTGTAAATTTATCGAATAAACATATACTTGATACTTACAATTCCTGTAAATGTGTTAACTTGTTCAATCCCTCAGGCAAGCTGTTGATCAAATTGTCATCCAGTTCTCTTTGTTGTGCGCAAACATTGTTGATTATTTGTAGAATAAGTAGAAGAGAATTAAAGGTATAAAAAAAAGAATTAGTTACTTCTGATTAACTTTTTTTCTCAATAAAAAAAAAATAGGCTAAAAGCCGACAAAATTACAAGGTAAATTGTCAGGTAAATGAAGCCATGAGAGCAGAGGTGGCCTAACCCACAGTTTTTTGTACTTAACTTAAAATAGTTTCAAAAGTGATAAATTTTAAAGTAAAGGTCGATTATTCCCTAACTTGATGGTACGTTATGCATCTATGGACCTCAAAATTAAGGAATAGGTGACTTTCGTTTTAAAATTTATCACAATCAAGACTATTTCCGGTAAGAAATTACAAAAAAAAAAACATGGGTTAGGCCACTTTTGCTCACATGGCCTCAAATCTACTGCTTAGAAATCAACCGAACGACACATAAGTTTCGTATTTTGGAACGGTATTCCAATATAAAAGTCTTTCATGAACAAACTGATTGTATCCTACTGAGTAGTATGGATCCTGACTTGGGAAATTCACCATCGACTAGATTTTCACAGTTCAAATCCAAAAAGTTCTACAAAAAGTAAAGCTAGGTAAAAGCCGTATGTAAAAGACACATCATTCGTGTAGTTTTACCGTCTTCAAAACAGCTGATGTCGAACTCCTGTCTATATGAGGCTCACACCACGATTAGCCGCATAAAAATCAGAGTGTCCAGATTTGGCGATTTCGCGCCAATTTGGCGATTTTTTTTTTTTATATTTTCGCGTAAAAATTTAGGAAATCGCCATTGGCGATTTTTGGCGATTTTTTACCTTCAAATAAATTTTTTCCAATAGTAAAAATATAAAAAACTTTGTTTTCCGCGATAATTTTACAGAAGCGGCTAATGAACTACGCTTATCACGGACTTGACTTAAGAAGCATATTAAGTGACTGTCAAAAAATTTGAATCACCCTAATCGAAGAACTTTTCAAACGATTAGCTAGTCAATTAAATACTTTTAAAAAAGCTTAGATTTTGTCACCAGAAAAGTGTGATAATCAAAAGAGGGCGAGTTTCAGGGACCTGCCAATTCATAATTTGACTTTGAAGGACAGAAAAGCAGCGGAAACTAAATATTTAAATCTTTGAACTTTCCCATGGAATAACGTTTTTCAGAACCATTCCATGCGACTCTGAAGAATTTTGGCTAATTGCTTACGGAGTGAAAACCGCAATAGGCCATAAAATTTATTATTGAAAATATAAGTAAAGTAGCCTTCATATTATTATCCTTGCCGCACTCACATGCTTTTGTTGAGCGCGTTTTTTCCGTAATGAATTCAACAAAAAACTAAGATTCGAAATAGGATGAGGTTGGAAAGCCTTAAATCAATAATTCGAATAAAGTGTTATACGAAGACTAATAGTTTCTGCTGCAAAACGTTTCCAATATCAAACAGTATGTTATCACGGTTGAATAGCTCAATATATGACAACAACAGAAATGTAAATCATTCAGACACTATAGCCTGATTTTGAAGAAATTGTGGAAATGGCTGAGCTCGCCTTATTATAGGTTTCTATTATATTTTTAGCGCCAAGCTCTTAAAAACGGATTGTGCGATTAATCAATTATAAGAGTTATAATAAATTTAACAATTGCGCAGTCCTATTGGAAAATGTGTTGAAGCAAATATTTTTTTAAAAAGTGTGCGTATTTTTAAAGAAAGTTGTTTGTACATCACTATTATATATAAGTGATTTATTGCCCTCTGAAGGTATTATATACGCTTTTGGTTTTAAAAACTTTATTATAACAACATCTCATTTTTAAAATGAAAGATTTGTTAGATCGATTTCATGAATTTTATTAAAAAAAAAAATGGCGATTTTTTTTTAGAAATTGCGCTTTTTTTTATTATTACCCCGCTTTTATTAGCTCGGGATGTAAATATGTAATATTGATGCGTCTAAAAGATGCAGCGATTTCAATTCTCAAGTCATATACTTGATGACAGTACGAATGGTAATTTTAATAGCGAGGTTTTAATTTTTTTAAACTATAATTTTATTAAATTATCTGGACAACCTGATAAAAACCAAGATAAGTTGTCTATCGGTTATTAAATTCATTAAGAAAGTTCTAAGGAAAAATAACCTTGTAATCTATAATTTTCCTTATCACCTCGATCACATATCCATACTTCATGTATCCGATATCAGTGACCGCCAATAAATTCCAGTTTTTATTCACACATATTTTTAAATGTGTAGCTATTTGCAAGCGCAACGCATTTATCTTTCAGTGGTCACTTAAAACTGCAAAATTTCAAAAGCTGAATGACGTTAGCAATAACACCAATAAAAAAAAAAAACGAAAAACAATAACAAAGGCGATTTCCGCACATAAGTAAGTAGCACTCGATTTTATAGAAGCATTGACGCCACAAAACTTTTAACTTTTACCTTTTCAACAAAGTTTTCGCCAATTCTTCGAAAAATGTTGCTGCAGGAGCTACTTAAAGAGTTTTGTTTGTAAACAAAGTGTTGCAAAAGATAAATGTATGTATCTATAGGGTGGAAAAAATGGCATAAAACTTCGACAAATGGTCGAATCTTACTTTTATTGCATTCGCAGAAGCCTGAAGTGGCATGTATGTACGTATGCATGAGGCACTAACCACACTCTGAAAGACCTACATATGTATGCACATACATAAAAAAAAAGCTATGGCCATAAATAGTTTCATGACATTTATTTCAGCGTACAGCAATGCATCGGTCATTGAGTTCTGCATGCACACATACATACATACGCACATATACTTACTATATACATATATGTATGCTTTGCGTGCTTTTTTCGGCTTTGCACATAAATTGCCAACAATTTTTATGGTGTTGTTGTCGTTCGATCTATCGACTAACCAATAACAAACAGTTACTGCCCACTGAAATTTGTTTTGATATTTCATTTCTTTCACTTTTTGCACCATTGCCGTTTTTCTTTGCTTCATTTTCTTACTTTTTTCTCTTCGTTTAAAAGCTAAACATTTGTTTCCATTCGGCTCTTTCTCCATCCATTTGTTTATAAAATTGCTGGCAAGCAATAAGTTTCGTGTCAGCTGGCGCTCAGCCATGCTCGAGGTTTATTTTTCAATTCTTTGTTAATGGATTTGTTTTTTATTGTATTGATGTACATACATACATATGTACTGATTTCAATAAAACCACCGAAATTTACGTCAATTTAGTAGGGTGCAATAAAATGCATAATTCTTTTGGTTTCAAAATATCGTAGTAAAAGGGACTAAAGCCAATAAGAAGGAAGGGGTTTTAACAGCTCAAAAGAAGTTGTTGAAAGTTCACTACGAAAGTTTTTTATTTCGAATTTTTTGGTGATCGAATCATTTCTCCAAAAAAAAAATTTACAACGGGTTTTGACTAAAAATTGTCTTGAAACTCAGTTTAGAAGGAATAAAGAAGAGTATGATGAATGAAGAAGAACCTTGTATTTATGGCCGTTGAGTAATTATTTTTGAAAAGAAAAAATATAAAAAGAAAAACGTTGATACTTACAAAACCTTTAAAGCTGTTAGATTTGCAAATGCATTCGCTGAGATTTTCATAATTTGATTGCGTTTTAAAAGTCTGTAAAAAAGGTGAAATGTATACATATTTTTAGTAGATATCGAGTAGCATAAAAATATAGAGCATTTTGTTTTTGTTAACTTTCTTATTGAGCTCGAGGCCGATTTTAATGAAATTTTCGGAAAAATGCCTATAACAAAAAATTCATTTCCAAAAATGCTTTCCCCTTCAAGACAATCGGTCAGGTACGTGCATGACTTTTAATTTCGATGAAACTGAAATATGTTGTTTATTGGTCTAAATAATGGCCCGTATTATTTTTTTGCTCGATATCTGGGGATATTTTTTTTGTAAATACCCATAGCTTCGTTCAAAATTAATGAATGTCAACCATTTTTTCACTCAAATGTTGGTAATTGTTACCACTTTAAGACTGTAGGGTAAAATTATTGAATTTTATATTTGCAAATTTTTTACTTATTTTTAAGGAAACTTTTTCGAAATTAAATTTTGCAGAAACTATATTTTTTTATTTCATAATTTTTCGCAAGAAAATATGCACTTTGAACTACAATCGAGCTGAATCCCTTGTAGCTTATTTTTTTCGGGGACATGCATTTTTGTTAGAAAAAATACATTTTATTAGAAGTTATTAGAAGTTAATATACATTCTAAATAAGAACCAAAACGGACTATAAATATGGGGTTGTTTAAATATCTCGACTCCTGCGCCACCTATCGGATTAACTCATCTTTAATATTGCATTGTCATCGGCTTATGAGCCAACTGTGAAGTTTCAAGTCTCTAGGTCATTGGGAAGTTAGTCAAAAATTGATTGCAAGATTTGCCCCTAACAAACATACATACATACAGGGCAAGTTAAATGAAAGCTTGTAACAAAATACCTTATAAGTCGGCCAAAAAATTTTTCCGAGCCAAAAAATACGGGTCTCATTATGTGGACCAACAAACAACATATTTCAGTTTCATAGAAATTAAAAATTAAAACCAATTGTATTTTATTTTGTTTTATTTTATCTTATATCGTTGTATTTTATTTTACTAAATTAAATAAAATCTAATTTTATTTTGTTTTATGTTATTTTATTTTATTTTATTTTATTCAATTTAATTTAATTTAATTTAATGTAATTTGGTTATTATGTTTCTAGGGCAAACTTTCAATTTCCTATAGGGTAGTTTTTTTTTCGCGGGCAAGGATCGAAAATGCCTATTGCATCATCAAAGCTGTCGTCACAACAATGGTATGTCCGGAGACTAAAACACTCCCCCCGAATAGGAACCGTCGCCCACCCTGGGACCACTAATCGCATTGCTTCAGGGTGGCGTTCCATATTTCTCATTAACTAAAGTTCCCTCGGTGCACCTGCGTCCAGATCCCGCTTCTTGACTCAAAGTAAGTATTCTGCATATTTAACTATGTTCTTCCAGTTAGTTTCGCTATGTACCATGGCTTGGATGACGTTATCTGGGTTAATTGGTCCTACAAGGTCTTGCAGATTATTGCGCTCGGTTTCCCATCTTTTGCATCTGAAAAAGTGTACTCGGCATCGTCTTCTTCTGCGTCGCTGTATATGCATGACGGCTCTTCGGCTTTTCCCATTCTATACAGGTAATTGCGAAAGTAACCATGCCCAGACAGCATTTGTGTGACGTAATAGTTTATTTCGCCATGTTCTCTTTGGGTCCACAGTTTTAGGTCTTTTATTAGCCTAGCCGTCCATCTGCCGCGGCTTTCGTTTTGAAACCTATCTTGCCATAGTCTTAGTGTCTCGTCTCTTACTGTTTCCCTTTCGTTGTCACTTGGATTCGTTTGCGCCTTAAACTTCCACATTTTCTTGCGTTCGGCTGCTAGCAGGTCAATGGGAACCGTTCCGCTCATAACTAGTATTGCCTCGCCGAACACTGTACGGTACGCAGAGGCTACTCTTAAAGCTGCTGTGCGATGAGCTCTAGAAAGTATCTTGCAACGGTTATTTTTCTGTAGGGTGTCCGCCCAGATCTCCGCTCCGTATAGCAAAATATTCAAGGTTGTGGACATTAGAAGTTTTCTTTTACTTTGGGTCGGTCCACCAATATTGGACATTAATCTGCTTAGGTAAGCCGTTAACTTTGCTGCTTTTGC